GGGAAATAACTCTAAATGACAGGTTTCAAATAGTTAGGAGCCTGCTGAGTTTTAAATGCAAATAAACGCTCATAATCTGAGTGAAAGTGAGGAAAACTCCTTCTCTGTGATTGGAGAGGCTTAAGATAGAAAGAAATATGATTAATATTTAAAGTGATTGGTGCAAAGAGTGGATCTAAAAGCTATTAAACCCCGGGGCATACTTAGTTTTTCAGTCACAGCTACTAGGCTTTCTACTTCTTTTGCCCTCCACTTGTCCTACATAATATCCAGTCATGAAGAGATGTGAAGAGTGGGCCAAAAAATGAGTGACATAGCACATAAGTTTAAGAAGAAAAACTTTGAACAGCCTTCAGCACAAAGATCTACTGATTGAGATTATTTTGAAAAATTATATCAAAGTCTCAGGCCTTTAGAAGCAAAGTATATCAAATTTGGGATAAACATTTTTGAGCAGACCTGTATAAAAATAAGTGAAAATGTATCTACATGACCTTGGGAGACACATGGAAAAACAAATGTGAATAAAAGGAAGATAAATGAATTAGCAAGTCCCAAAGTTTGGGACGGAGCAACATGCCGCTGCTTAATTATCTAATCTTGGCAGAACGTAATCCAATAAAGAATGCAAATCATTGATTAGCACTAATCCTCTCGCTCTTCTCTGTCACGCACGCTGGGGAACAATTAAATGCTAAGCCCCACAGATAGAGCACCTGCGGAAAGATGAATGAGTGGAGTCCATTGGATTAATAGCACTGGTGAGGAAGAAAAGGCAGGTTGAGAAGCGAGCATGAGTGCAGAATTACTAATAGTCTCTTCACGCTCTATAAGCCACTAAAGTGACCACTAGCCTGAAGTACATTCATTCTCAACCAATTAAGACAAATGGGTCGATGGCGGCCACTGGTACCTCTGTGTTCTGGTTCCTTAGAAAGAAAAACACTTACAACTGTTTGTAGGTAATCTTATCAGGGCAGACATCTGAGAAGTGAACAAAGTTTATTTACTTTTCACACCCGATTGCAAGGAACTGAGCAGCAGAGCCACACCATTTAAGTGGATGAGTCTGGGAAACTATTAAAGGAACAAACCATTCAGCTTCAATCCCCGAAAATATCACCATGTGGTGCAGCATCTCCTGATTTTCCAACAAAAACAGCACAATAAAGGAGCTGCATTATTAATACATACATGGTGTCTGCACAACTTTCCTTATTCTGAATTATATTTCTGAAGCCATCATATCTCTTGTGATGCATGATTATTTTTGTCAATAGTCTGTCTTAATCCTCAAATACATATTCACATTTTGCACTTTTTTTTTTAATAAATCTGCACAATTGCACATTCCTTTGGACAATATATTTTTTTTACAGCTAGACAGTATTTATGTTAGATTTTTGCCCTTACAGTATTTTTTATACATCCTGTTTTTATGTAGTGCATATTTCTATCTTTACGTATTTCTATGTACTTTGATTACTTGTCACATTGCAGCTGTTGCACAGAAATGTTCCCATTGCAGAACAATAAAGGCTATTTCTATTCTAATCTATTGTATTTTTGACTTTTCTGTTCAAAGCATTTTCAAACTAAACAGAAGTAGACAGAAACCAAATTGAGAAAAGTTCCCCATTTTAATGTTCAGGAAAAAATCTGCAATAAAATGAACATGAGTATAAAGAAAACAAAAACATTCTCAAAACTAGCATTGTTATTTTCTATCCACAGAGAGGCGTAGGTGAATAATTTGTGCTCTGACGTGTTACAGCACCAATAAAGTTACTAGTCCCACTTTGTTACCAATTGCAAGCAAAATGAAGTTAAAGACTTAGAAATCTGAACTGAAACATAATTATCAAGCTGCCTCAAAGACAGTGAAGTACAGTGGACCAAAGCCAATCCAGATACATTGAAAGCAGTGAAGTAGCTTTGGCAGCAAGTTGGAAGTCTTCTTTTGGGTGCTAACTTTAATGTTGTCACTATTCCAAAAAAAAAAAAGAATGCCAGAGAGACAGAGTTATGAGGACAATCATGTCTGAAACTGTAGTGCAGCTGCTACAATTCCAGTTCACACCAGACAGAAAAAACAAGAAGAAAATAATCGAACAAGAAAAGTTTTTAAGGCAATTTGGTATTCTTCATTAGATTTTAATGTATTCCATTGGTGCGTAAGCTGCAGAGTATAGCTTTCCCGAGGCACAAGAATACTTAGAAAAAATCAAGATGTTAAATTCCAAGCAATAATCTAGACAGATTGAATCATCACGATCATCCTCTGCTTCAGCTTCATTATCCACAGCAGCATGCAACAGGGCTTGAGGCTCATCAGTTGACCTCTGGCAGTCACATGTAATAAGAAAGTCTTTGCAGCTTTCTATCGGTCTGACCATGTTTGTCATTAGTTACAGTTCTGTAAAGAACAGACGGCCTGTCCAAGGTGTATCCCGCCTATTGGCCAACAGAAACTGCAGCTGGGCACCAGCTGATAAGTAGGTATAGACAATGGATGGATGGAATTTAGACATAATTCTTAAAGGGGAAATTTGATGAATTGAAAGGGAATCAATTTTCTCATCCAACATATTGCTTCTGAAAGCTTCCTGATTTTCTTAAACCTCTTTAACTTACAGGCAATCAAGTGTCAGCCTGATGGGACATCAGTAACCCAAACACACACATTGCAATAAAAGGTGATATTCTTTGCATGCCATTTTGTGAAATGTATTTTGGCTGAAATCCATATTAGTATTTTGAAATGAAATATATCACTGGCGAAACCAATCACTTTATGATTCCCCTTACTGGAGTAGTTGGTGAGTCGCAGTCGTCTTGCATTTCTTGACCTGGTTGTTCTGATGCTGGATTTTTAATAAATACGTTTTAATTATGCTCTCTCAGAGATTTGGTCTATAGTTCTGACAATCAAACTACATACTGTATTTTCTTTCAAACTTTCCTCCCTGAAGTGTCGTAAGAGTTTCTTTCATCATGTAAGCATCAATAATTAGGGCTTCAATTTTACTACATTCCATAATGTTGTTTTCTTCTTTCTCATTATTGTACCCAAGAGCACAATGATGTAAATGAGTCAGGAGCATGAGTGTAGAGTAGAGCTTTGCACTGTGTTTTGAGTTTTTGCTGTTCAGTCTTTCTAATTATTCCAGTATGTTGTTTTGGTGTAATCCTACGAATGTCCTTTTTATAGCCAGATCTCTGGTAAACTGATAGTGTGGAGAAATATTCAGATGAGTTCTCACAAGCACATTTGTCCTCATCTATTCTTTAGGTGTTCTGGAACCCCTTGTTTGTCGTTAGCTTTGTTGCACCAACAACTCGACTATAAGTTTGCCAGTTCTCCCTTATTCCATTTTATTTTGTCTAGCAAATAAATTATTTGTCACGGTTCTTAAAAATGCATGAAGAAAATTATGCTCCCACTATGCGAAGATGCATCCACAAAAAGTGCACAGAAACAGAAAGGTCTGATTTTTATCCTACAAATATTCCTTTTTTAAAGTAAAAGAAAAAAAAAAAAAAACGTCCACATTCAGTGGTGGGACTGCCCTTCTATTCAAAGAGTGGCCACAGGGTGTGAAAAGTTTTATCAGGGGATTCTTAAACTCTTAAATGGAAAACATTTGCTCTTGTTCTTATAGAACATGCAAGTCAGGCTTTGCAAATTGATCCTAAGGAAAACTACTCCTATTGACATTTTTAACAGACTATAAAACATTTAGTAATAATGAGATAGCCCATATTGCATGATGCCTTGCATGTAGACAGAAATGAAAACCATAAATCATGTCTAATATGTATCTTTGCACTAGTTGTAATGACTTACCGAGGGCGTCTAATCAGATTCCAGAGGTGGCCAGTGCTAAGATGACCACAGCTCTAGCTACGGCCCTGCCCACATCAGATCGTAGCTCTACTCAAAAATAATCTTTTAATTGACGCAAGTAGTTTACCAAAATATGCAAAATATGAATATTATTGTAACGTCATGCCAGCAACAATCAGTAGATGTTTTGTCTGAGTCCCGTCAACAGAAATAGAATATAGACTACATTGTAAAAAAAAGTATTCACTCATCTGCTTTCCTTCACATTTTTAATGGATAAAGTTAAAGACGAAACCAGCCCACCTTTTGCATCTGGAACAGTTTCACTCTTGTGGGATATTCTTCTACAAGAATGAATTTTTTGAACATTCTTCCAGCAGAGAACAAGAACCTCTTACGGTTCTCTGCACTGATTTTTCCCAAAGGCATTCTGTCGGGTTGCGGTTAGGACTCTGCACATGCCAGTCAAGCTTTTCCACACCAAACTTTCTCATCCATTTCTTTTTGGACCTTGCTTTGTCCACTGGCTCACAGTCATGCTGGAAAAGAAATGGCTCATCCCCGAACTGTTCCACAAAGTTGGAAGCATGTAATTTCCTAAAATGTCTCGGTTTGCTGAAGCATCAAGAATTCTTTCTCCTGAAAAACAGTCACACACCATCATTTCCTCTGCATCCAATTTCACCTGAGACGATGAAAAGTAGCAGTGAAGAAAGTGCTGTCCTCCTCATACCAAACAAATGCAGAGAGACTTGATTATTTTTCCTAACAGAAAATGTCCTACAGTCCAGTGGTGATAAACTTTAGACCAGTGTATCCAACTTGCATTTGAGCAAATAAAGGCATAGAAACCCATCCTACGAAGTTCTTGATACAGTCTTTAAAGACATATAGAGTTTGGATCTCCAGCCAACAACTATGCAATCAGTTAGTGACCTCTGCACTGTTTACCTGACCAGCCACCTTAAGGAGATGTTGACTAAATGCTTTCTCTTGGATGTAATACCAAGTAAGAGTTTCCTGTGAAATTTCCCCACTGGATGTTTTTCATACACGGTATCCTCTCAGTACAATACTGGAATTCACTAAGCTCCTGTCAATCCATTAACTACTGGTAACTGAATATAGATTGTGATTAACTTTGATTTGTCTTTGTTATAGATGACCATTTTTGGTTTCTCACTGCAAACAGGTGTGTAATTGTACAACTACAACTTTGATTCAGAGTCAGAATGAGAAGCAGAAGTGGGGCCTCCAGCACAATGGTCAACAATGCAGCACACTTTATGAATGGTAAGTCAGCAACAAAAACACCCAAAAAACTTTTACTTATTGCCAGGAAACAGCTGTAGGTATTTATTTAAGTGCTTGGACTGTTTCGAGAAGCAATAGAGACCCAAATGGAAGAACAAAAACATGAAAAAAGGGAATTTTGCATAATAGGTCTCCTTTAATGTTTTACATTAAACCAATTCAGTATATTTGCACCAACTGTTCTTAAAACTTGATAGCTATGTCGGGGTCAGGCTGTTAGTATGCTTGTAATCAAAACAATAAACAAAACCAGACAGTAAAAAGTATTAGATATTTGAAACATTTTCAGGTGGGTTAGTGTTTTCAGAAATGCAGATCCTGAAAATCAGACCCTGGAGAAAAGAAGTTCACAGCTGCTTTGGCTGATTACTTCATTTTATTGAAGGCTTGAGAAAGGAAAAACAGGAATAGTTTTCAAAAAAAACAAACCAAACATCTTCCCTACTGTGTATGTGACATTCAAAGCTTAATTATTACTAGTTTAAAAAAGAATAAACAATTTAAGAACTTATCTACAGATAAACTAGTTAAAAACTGAACAGACAAGTAAAAAAGAAGATCTTTCAGGTTGTAGGAATAGGAAAGGCTGAAAGCATAAGGCTGTAATTCTGACACAGTGTCAAACGAGCTTCAGTCTGGATCATCATCTTAGCTTTGCTTATAACTCAAATCTAATGGAGAAAATTATTTGCTCCATAAACCCCAAAAGAATCAATATTAAATCAGGACAGAGGTTCACAATTTTTTTCATAAAAAGTTTCCCTTTTTATGACCTTTAATTTACAATAAAGCTATTTTTGTGATATAATTTATATTCACAATTTAACTGTCCCAAATTAAACCGAATAAAGTACTTAGATCTGCCAAAGTCTAGTAATTTACTATCAGACATTTTGTAAACCTCTTAAGAAATTAAACTGAGGAAATATCAAAACCAAACAGTTCTCCTTTCAGATCACATTTATCAAACATTTATTTCTAAATAAAACTGGTCTGTAAAAATATATGGAACATTTTTAGTGATTAGCCAAAAATTAACAAGCCAAGAAATTGAGTAAACCAAAGAAATATAAAACATGACCTAACAGTGTGTATCTGGTGCTAAGTTTTACTAAGATAAATGGAGAAAAAAAAGAAAAAAAGTTTTTAAGCTAACTTCAGTCCTGCTCTGAGACCCCAATTGTTGTGCTAAACGATGAAGGAAAATAAAAGATGTAAAACAGTTTTTGGTTGTTAAAGTGCTCTGACACCATCTATTAGCAGCAGTAAGTACATACGTATAAATCTGGTTCAGCATTCAATCGACAAAATTATTTTAAAATATATGCATTGACTGACAAAAAAAAAAAAAACAATCGCTCAGTAGTAACTTCTACCTGACCTCTTATAACAAAATTAAAAAGGAAAAAAGATTATCATGCAGATCATTATTCATACTTTACATACATACAAAATTACATTTCTGTTTTGTCTTTTAAGAATAGTTTCTGTAAACACTGTTTTCGATCCTTGTGGGTTTTTTTTTCTTTAAACACACATCTGCTACAATCTGCAGGTTTTTTTCCCGCCTCCCATTTAAAAACAGTCCAAGGCTTCTGTTCTGGCTCCTGCTGCTTAGTCTTAAATGTCACGTTCCAACTGTTGCAATATAAACCATCCATACTTTAACTTTTAACGCACCTCAAGTCGACCTGTTCCAAAGTTAAGAAACTAGGAAAATTAAATGGAAGCTCTGGTGTGATGATGTCTACATGTGGGTGTTTTAAAAGTCTTTAAACTTACGTAGCCACCCATAAATAACATCGAAGGGGACAAAAAGTGGTTGAGAAGGCTAGGGCTGAATATAGATAAGGCATAGTCTGGGAAGGTCTGAATCACGAGTTCACACATTGGGTAGATGGTTAACCTTTTTAGTACTTTTTTTTTTCCTTAAATGGTGGTAGAGCGTAGCATTTGTGTAAGGAGGTGAAGGGAACATTTCGTATTCAGAGAGCTTGCAGGAACTCCTGGAGCTGCCTGACGAGCTCTGTGTCCACCGTCTCCATCAGGACCCCAAAGTTCTGGTCCCCCATCATGGCTTGCTGTGCCTTCAGTTTCTCATAGACAAACTGCTGGAGAGACACGCTATGCACCGGGTCCTCCAGGGCCAACTGCAGCAGAAAGAAAAGCAAAACAAATTCTGTTTAATTCAAATGTTTACCAGTCAAAATCACTAGAAAAATGACATTTTAATTGTGTTGCACTGTGGCTAAATTACGCAAAGGGAAAATTAAACTAAATTCTAAATATTTTAAACTCTTTAAAAAGATGCTAACGGTAGAAAATCATATAATGGGCAAGGATCAAGTCCCCGACTCCATCTCTCTGCTCAGCTCTATAACCATTCAGACAAATGGAGATTTTAAGAGGAGCGGCTAAAGCACATGAAGTGGATTAGCAGTGCAGGCCAACAACCATACATCCTGGGCTGTTAGCATGTCAAGACAGCCAGGAGACACTCATGCAGCAACCGTTTTCAGTAAGAGGCCTCATTAAATTTGTTGCAAGATGGACTGCTACCCGAGATCCTTCCTGACCATAGCATCACTGTCAATAATGACTCCTTGGAGAGACGGAGTTGATATGAACTACATCAACATTTAATTTCCCTTTGGAATAAATAAGTTATTTTTGAATTGAGCTGAAAAGAAATAATTCACTCTCAACACAAAGACCCTTAATTTAGTCATTTATTATCAAAGCATCTGTAAAAGAAACCATGTAGGGTTCGATTTGTTGTTCCAAGCAATCTTGCATTACAAGATCTATAAACTGATTTCTTGTTGTACAACCTCTTGGTGGAACACAATACAAACGGACACAGACAGGTCATTTGACATAAACAAATAGATTTCTGTTTTAATGGAGAGGTTATTTACATAACTAACAAGAAGCGAGTTTTAAGAAGTCTACCATGTAGAACCTGGATCAATAAAACCCAAGTCGATTTCAACAAAAAAGTGAAGTGGAAAGCAGCTCAGACATGTTGCCATTTCCAAGTCTTACATAAACATCGAACAAAGAACTTGGAAAGAAAGTGATTCAGTATATGTAGTCACAGCCATTCATTTTACGCAGAGGAAAGCACTGGAAAAACAATCCTTGACAACAGAGTGAAAAAAAGGCCAGGGAAGTTGGATGGCTGACTAGAGCTGATACATTTCTATGGGTAAGCAAACAATCATTTGTTTTCTGTGAAGTGAAGCCGGGGAAGAGGCAAACACTAGCACAGTAAAGGTTGAGAGACTCTGCTTTGCGAATAAACTCAAGGACCAGACTGTCAACATCATTAGATACATAAAACTTTTCAAACATAAAGTGTTGAGTATTCATTTAAGCTCTTGTCAATAAAATGACTACAATCACACCTTACCTTTTAGGTTTCAACTATCACATTTTCTATCATTGTGTGCTTCATAAATATATTCTGTCACTCAAGTTTGTTTTTACTCCAGACAAAACATTAAGAAGAAGAATGTGGACTCTTTGCTGCACAAGGCTGAATGAAAGAACATCAAAAGTGCAAACACGGAAAGAGATGCAGAAGCAGAATATTGTAATGAAAATATTTAGTCACCAATGGATCATGAGAAACAGCACTTGCCATGCTAATTACTATTTTGACATGACTGTGTAATCAAACTAGTGAAAAGTGGCCTAATGGAAAAACTGCCATCTAACTTGCATAATTGCCTTCGCTACAATGCTCTGGGTGGAGTACCTCTCTCCCTTTGAACAGGACCGAAACCCTGCTGCTGAATGTGTGAGCACGTTACCAGGCCTCTGAAACTCTACTAATTGTAGTTGAGTTGGGGAAAAAAAAAAGCTCCTATATGATCTTCAAATCACTAACATATAATTAAAGGTGGTTCTTGTTGAATCTACATCAGAGTGAGGCATCAGATAATGAGTTTTGATAACAATTGCAAAGGTATTTAAATAGAAAAAAACAAAAACAATCAGAGAGTTACCAGACAGGTACCGTCTCACAATCCTCCTGCTTGATCACAGTTTGTTGCCACTGGGGACAAACTGTCCAGCTTTTGGACACAGCTGATGCTGATGGCTGTGTCATTGTGTTAAGGGCCTAGCATGGCCAGACCAAAGTTGATCTGCTAACAGGAGACTCCTCTGCGCATCTCGACCACACTTTTAAAAATCTTGCCTTATATTTGTCTTTGTACTGGTTCTGAAGGTGAATTCAGATTAGCTAAATGCAACTTCCAAAATAGGCTTATATGTTGTCATGGCTTTAGGATGAGATGGTTGAGGAAATAATCCAGTTAGCATTCAGTCTTAATATCTAATGTTCAGGCTGGATGGATATGGTTTTCATCTTAAAAAACTCAGTTTCTCTTAAATAATTTTGTCTTTATCGTAAACTGTTCATGAATAACTTATCAAAACTATTACCCAAAACTGTCTTGTTTAACATGACTAATGTGAGATCTCTTGGGCAGATCGAACAGACAGAGGATGTAATTTCCTTTTACAGGAATCAGCACAATTAAGTCAATTAACTGTTAAAATTTGTGCAGATGTTGTTATCACATTTACTTCTACTATTAAAGTAAACAAAACTAGCAGATGCCAGTAGTTTCACAAAAGGTCATGTCAGAGGCAAAATAATATCTTTAAATATTATCAAAAGAAAATACTTCAGCATGCAGTTGCACAGCAAGTAGGTGCATTAGTTTTAAAATTTTAAACTTTTAAAACTAATACTATATGATCTTGAAATACCTGAAATACCTGCATAATTTCTAAATGTGGATTTGTTTATAGAATATTACAAAAATATTTAAGCTATTTTTAATGCAAATAGCTTAAAAAATGTAAAGGTGAAACATAATTTCTGAGGAAATATATTATGAGGAAAAAAATGAATATACAGGAAGATAAACTGTCTTTAATAAATGCCTGAGAAAAGCCATAAAACAGAAATATAGTACGTACATGAAAAAGAGCATCTATTTAGTGAGGCAGCGTAAATCGATAAGAAGACTTCAGGGAAATGAGGAAGGGATTAGAAGAGTGTCATACAGATGAATCAGCAGAATGTTAGCAGGACCCTGTGGATACACATGCTTGTCTTCTAACAGCAAGAGTATTGAGAGCAATGCACTTGGGACATGGTGTGTTGGGACCTTTCTCATAACAGCACAGAGATGAAACAATCTGTAGTGTAGCTTCTATTGTTAAGAACTATAGATTTGATCCAGCATCTTCCCCTGGGGAAAGAATCAGAGGCATATGTAAGGAGACAAGAGAAAGTAATAGGCAAGGAGAAGAAAATGACTGAGAAAAAATGTGAGAAAGTGGGTTAAGAAAAAAATATTAAAGAGATACTATGACATGAAAAAAGATGGCTCTAATAAAACAATACAACTAAATGTCAGATTGACTTATACACTAGTATAAATGTTTTTCAATTGTGATGTGGGTCAAAGATATTGGTTAGTTTTCTTCAAAGTTCTCACAATAGTTTGACCAGCTTTTGACAGAGCTGGTGCAACAGAATCAGGGTTTTAGACTGGCTTGAATTATACTATTATTATTCATTATAATATAACTGGTCTGTGGTGGATCATAATGTTTGTTAATCACAAAGAATTCTGTGAACAGATGAATATTTTAAGTCACCTTCAAGTTGACTTAAAATAAGAAATAAAACGAGGAAGAAGTTTTATTTCTAGGTTGTTTATTCAAGTCTATGTACATTTCTGGTTTGTACATTTTTGACAGCTATTTTAAGATCTGTTAAATTATGGTTAAAAACAGTGGCTACCGATTACTAAACCTATTTTAGTTTTATCTCATTTAACAGTAACAATTTTTCCTCTAAAAAGATTGGTGAAAAAACACATTTGCACTTCAGCAGAAGATCTGAGAGGAAACTAAATCAAGTCAGCATTGGCTAAGTAGGGCCAATGATGCAACAATCTGTACTTTTCCAGCCTTTATCTCATACCCGGTGGTGGCTTATGTCTAACTGCGTAAAATACAATTCATGAGCACGACTGTGCAAACAGAAAGTGTGTGACGCAAGAAGTGCTAAGAGTGGATGATATATTGGAAGTGCAATCTATGAACTGTAAGACAATGCTGACAGCAGAAGGTACGGGGGATGATATTAACCTCCTCAGTAAAATAAGAATGCATCATTTTACAGCTTCACCAGCTAGACAGCCTCTAAATGTCTAGCGAGACCAATAAGCTGCCTTAAAGAGGTCAAACTTCATTTAGGGAGTTGTGTTTCTCAAAACAAGTCACTCTAAGCCCACATTTATCCACCATAATGATTATAAAAGAGGCAGTGAGTCTTGTATGGATGAAAAAAACAAGTAAGTAGGGCCAATACTACAAAGAAGCTTTAATAAATCAAAGCTGTTTGTCTCAACTAGCCAGGAAGATTATGATTAGTCACACCATGAAGCTGCCTTTCAACTGGTTTGTTAGCCTAAGTTTTATGTTGGATATAAGCTGCCCTGTGCAAAAATAAATTAAGTTGCAAGTGGGTGTGCAAAACCAGATCAATAAAACATGGATGTTTCAGACACATTTTATTGTGTACTTATTTTACCTTAATATGATAGAAATGTTGCCTTTAATAGAGACCAGTGTCAGTAAAAGGTGGAGGGAGTAACAGAAACATGGAATTGGTAAGTCACATTGTTGCTTGGATGCGTTTTGCATCCATTAAAAACAAACGTATTGACAAATGAACTGGATAGTATGCTGCATGTTCAGAGATATTGCCACAATTACAATCTTGACTGGTCTTGAAATAAAATCCTGAGTCCTCAGCGCCTGAGACCGAGACCAAATGCGGTCGAGTCCATCAAAAAATGGTCTGGAGTACTACAACACTGATAGAGACAGGAGAGAACGCTTTCGATGCAGCATAGAACTTAGTGGTCTGCGACGCCGGAGTCTGACCAAATTTTCTTCTTCAAATGACTGTAGAAGCCACTTTCAAGCAAAAGTACCTGACCAACTATGTTCTTTCAATAAGTCTTTCTGACTAATATTTTTCTCATTTCTGAACCAGTTTCTTTTTGTTCCACCTTAAAACTCAAGTAAAACAGCTCACCTGTCTTTCAAAGCTTCC